ACTTAGCAGATGGGATGTACTCTTAAGGTATCCTAACTTGTGTTTGGAAGTCATGATTTTGTAGACTGTCTGGCTTCAAACCTATGGGAGGTATGTGCACTCAGAGCCCACTGGGAGAGGCTGCTCAGCTGCTGGTGGTGGATTAGGCTGTCTTTGGATGCCCTAGGCTGAAGTCAGACATCAGATGGGTACTCTGACCCTGAATTTGTTCCTAATATCTGATCTAAACCCGCCCTCTGTCAGTTTGAAGCCATTTCCTCTTGACCTGTCACTACATGTCATTGTCCCAAGTCCCTCTCCAGCTCTCTTGGAGCCCCATTAGGCACTGGAAGGGGCTCTCAGGTCTCCCTGAAGTATTCTCTTCTCCAGGCTGAACTGCCTAACTCTCCCAGCCTGTCTCCAGAGCAGAGGTGCTCCAGCCCTCAGTACATCTCTGTGGCTTCCTCTGGACCTGCTGCATCAGCTCCACATCCTTCTTGTTCTGAGGACCTCTGAGCTGGAGGCAGCACTGCAGGTGGGGTCTCACCAGAGCAGAATCCCCTCCCTCTCCTGCTGTTGGTGCAGCCCAGGACACATCCAGCTTTCTGGGCTCCAAGTGCACATTGCCCAGGTCATGTCCAGCCTCTCCACCAGCACCCCCAAGTCCATCTTGACAAGGCTGCTCTCAATCCATTCTCCACCCAGCCTTCACTGTGAGGTAAGAGACTTCAAATTGCATTCCTTTTAATTGCAGACTCATTTAGTAATAGGAAAAGAGTAGCCTTGTAGTTGATACATAAGCATTTTCTTCATAAAATATGACCCATGATCGACTGAATTTAGAACTGATAAATATTCCTCAACAAAACAATAATTGAAGGACTGGAAAAAACACTCCACTCTCTCATTTTGGCTTTGCTGGGAACCTGGGGGAAATGTTTGGCTTTTTTTTGTTGTTGTTTTGTTTTGAATCACAAAGGCAAAACTGGCTAGTAAGAGCTCTAAAGCAGAGATTTATGTTTAATTCCCAGAAAATCCACAGAGAATTGGAAGCCCTAAAACTATTATTTATTGTTATTGTTCAGTTTTCGATCTCTGAAATGGAGATAATTCTTTCTGTAGTGAGCTGAACTGACATTCCTGTCCTGACATGCTCTGATTTTTAAATCTTCAAAAAGTTTTCAGCTTTCCGTAAAGGTCAGTCTTGGCCTTATTTATTATCTACAATAACTGCTAAGGGAGTTGGGGCCTAAATGACTCATTATTACGGTAGCACTTAGGAATCTTCTCTTGAGTTTGCAACCTGTTGGGGAAGGCCTCATATCTGTGTGTAACAGGAGATACTGGCTGCTCCAAGGAGTCTTGCTGGATGAACAAACTGAAGAGAGGAAGGAAGCCTGCAATTTGTTTTTCTCATTTACCAGGAGAACAGAAGCACAGAGGTATTGGATGAATTGTTAGGGATCATACAGGCAGGCTGTAGGAGAGCCAGAACCTGAATCAACATCTCCTACCTTCCTAGTATTGTGTTTGTCCCACAAGATCTTTCTTTGCTGCTTGCAGAGCCTGTGTTTCCATTAAAGATGTAATTTTTCATTGCAGTCGAGAGCTGTCAAAGAAAGGGGAAGAAAAACTTCTAAAGAGAAGAACATGAAGGGAAACCTGCCCTGCCCACCTTGCATTACTCACTATCATTAATCCCTCCTTGCTGAGTGAATGGAAGAGTTTCCAAATCCATGCAGAGCTCAGCAGGAAGGACTCACCTTATCTGAAAGGCACTTCTTGCAGCTTTATCCACACAATAATATGTCAGAGTTAATAAAACAAGTGGGAAGAGTGTGAACACATCCACTTAACTAGGGAGCCACGGACAACTGGATACACACCCCTCTGTGTGCCTGTGAGTGAGAGTTCAGTGGGTGTCAGTCCGAAGGGCATCTGTCTCCACTGGCAGGGATTTCTGAAGAACCCAGCATGCTACATCTCTGACTCCTCTAGCATTGCACAGCAGCCAGCATGATATCAGAGCTCCGAGAGACCAAATCAATGCCTGGCTTCCCTCCCAAAGCTTATTAAGCTGACTAGAGCTGCTTGCATATCGTTTTCTAGCAAAGTGATTTGAATTTGTGATTACTTAATTTTTTTTTTTTTTAACAGTCTAATAAAGCAGGGACTGTAGTTGTGAATAATTTAACTGGTGGGTTTTGCACTCATTCTTGAATACCTTGTTTTGGGGAAATCCTGCCAGAAGTCAGTGGGCCTGGACTCACACACCAGTAGGGACACCAGCCTACGTTTGGAGTGCTATATCAGCTCATTAAGAAACATTTAGGAAAAAAAGGTGTTTTGTTCAAATTAGTCAATTCCTTCCATCCATGCCTAGAGCAGATACTGTACTGACAAAAGGTAATGTTTCAAAATTTTAGGGTTTTTGTTTTCTGTTTTCCAATTCCAACTTTTTTATTTATCTTTTAAATTTGATTTCCAACTAAACTGGATGTAAACCAAAAAGTATTTCGAATTTCTAATAGATTTTTTTCTTGCAGGGCTCCCAAAACTTGATGGCTCTGAAAATAAATAGGATTTTTTGACACAGATATTTTTTTTGTTCCAGCAAGTGCCAGGAGAAGAGACCACTGGAAGTCCTGTCACTGCAGTCTTTGTCCTGCTGTCATACTGCTCCCTAACTCACACACTGGTCCAGGTATGTCCAGATGAGGACAACTTGCATTTGGGATGTTTCCCCAGCCTTAGAGACTGTCTCTCTTGCTCAGGGTCTGCAGCCCTGCAGCAGGGAACAAGCGTGCTTGGAGAACTCTGGCTCTAGCCAGGCTTCTCCGAGCTTCCAGGTTCCCTGCTGTGGACCTGGGAGCTGAGCCCAGATTATATCTACTCTTCCAGGCTCTTGGCTCCAGGAGAGACTGTCTGGAAATTCTGGCATCACTCCCTGCCCTACAGCTACAGACCCTGTAATCCTGAAGGCCTTGGCTTTGGGGAAATCTTCTTGGTGGGTCTATCCAGGGGTTGTCCTACCTGGAAAGCTTTCTCTATGTATTTGATCTTGGTGGGTCTGTGCAGAGGCTGTCCCTCCTGGAAAGCTCTCTGGATGAATTTGAACAGCTCTCTAGTGCCAGAAGAGCTAGTGCATGAAATCCTGGGCTGTGTCTCGTAGGGGAGGGAGGCCTCATAGGGAGCAGAGGTCTCTCCCTCCTGCCCTGTCTCTGGCACAGTCAGGAATTCCTTCTGGGAGGTGAGATGGGTGGGTTTGAAGCTGTAAAGACTGAGGCTGTAGGTGAATGAAGCTATTTTACTTCCCAGATGAGAAGCATCAAACTACCAACTGCAGACTGTCCCCCATTCTCCATTATGATCCAGAGAGTAAGGCAAATTTCTGCACGTTCAGAAATACACTGCAAAGATGTCATCCTAATTCCCAAGGCATTTCGTGGAGTCTTTGTTTCTCTCTCATCACACAGACCCACTAATTTTGTCCAAAAAATCCTGGAAACAGTAAGACCATGTCTAGTGGTGTAAATTTTCATTACCCTTTTTTGTTATGAGGTAGAAAACCATCATCAAACTAACAAGGCAATAACCGATCTTTCATTCCACTGTCTAATAAAACTACTTTCAACCACAAAAGAAAATGTTGAGGCAGCAATGGTAAGTCCTTCCTTCTCTCCAAGTTTTATTCAACAAGTTGTGATCACTAATGCCTAATCAGGGCTATCTAAGTATTGTTTACCATAAGAAAATAATTTTCTTTTTACTTTTTAGAACAGTCTAGGAAATTAAACACAAGACAACTTGCATTAATTCCAAGTACAACCTCCTAGTAGAAAAAAATATTCTTGCTTCAGAACAGTGTGACTTTGCCTCTAAGTTAGAAAAAGGAGTATTTTGGAAATGTGAAGGCCAATGTTAAGGAGGAGAATGGTGGGGAAGGATGTCCTTGCATTCTCAAAGAAGCAAAAGGAGCACTGAATCTCTGCAGTCAGGGACCATATTAACATTGCATTTAGAGTACACTGATGACTTTGGGGGTGATTTGAGATCTCTGCAACATTACCCTACTTCTAGACACTTGCCTTGATTGTTCTTGTGTTTCTCTGAGTATGAGGAAAGTTTCAGGAAGAGGGAGTGTCCTGTATTTAGCTGAGCAAAGCCTGGTAAGTCTAGGTTTTGCAAACCTCCTGGAGGAATCTTCTCATGGAAAAATATATCAACCTCCAGCCCCTGCGTAGTAAAGCCATGGGACTGTTGAAAAGCTGGTGGATGACTTTGTTTCAAAATTTCCAAGATGAGAAGACCCTCTCAGCACCTCCAAGGGCTGATGAATGGCAGTCTAGTCCCACTTGCTGAGGAGCCAACATGGAAAATCCACAGGGGGGACATGAGTGATGGAGTTTGTAGTTTGATACTCATTTGAATCCCAGTCTGAGGAGAAAGAGGGAAGGAACAGCCAATACAAACCATCCCCATCCTGTTCTCCCAGCAGTCTCTCCTCTGAAGCGTTGCTTGGAGGTGAGCATGCTGGAAATACTATTATTACTCAACTCTTGCTACTGTGAGACCGCCAGCGACTTGTGCCGAAGGAGCCAACTTAAATGACAATAAAGTAAAATCCTTGGCAGCTGGGACTGTTTGCTTCTTGGTGCCTGCAAAGGGAGCTCTGGCCTGTGCTCCCGCTCTCATGCTGTTTTGGAAACTTGAAGTTGCCCATAAGGCATGGTCTGTGCAGGAGCCCTATCGCCAAGCAGCGGGGGATGTTGTCCTTAGCTGTGACAAATGATTGCCAGCAGTGATTTTGGGGGAAGAAAGAGCAGCTTTCAGATCTCCTCCATCCAGCGAGCCATGGAGCAAAGCCGAGCCCGTGGTGGTGCGAACACGGTGGTGCCACGGGGAGGGGCCAGATCCTGGGAGCACTCGCCATGCCGTGTGGGTGGTAGGATTTGGCTGGATGCTCGTAGTGTCACGTGTCATTCCCAGCATTCCAGGGCCAGCTCCCGCAGAGCTGCTCTGCACTGGCCAGGATGGAGCTCTGTAATTACAGAGAACTTTCCGTACGGTCTGGGTTGCTCCTGGTCTGGCTGATCCTGCAGGACACAGCCCTCTGTGCTTCCCATGCCTGACCCGAAAGGGTGGTGGACACCTTCCTGTGAGTACTCATTGTTTCTCTGAATTAACCTGGGAGATCCGATCCAGTTTTCAGACAAACATGGAGAGCCTTTCCATTGATTTCAGTGGCTCCTGGATTGGTCCCTTATTGCATAAACTCAGATCTCTGCTATTTCACACTTCATTTCCTTCCATACCCTTGGGTGAAGCTCATCAACTCCTGTTGATTTACTGCACTTAACTTCTCAGGTTTCTCCAATTTTTTAGTTTTTCTTTTTTTTGGAAACTTGGAGTTTCTTTCAAGACCACATTCAGATTTCTCCATAAAAATTCCCTGAGAGGAGGAATTTCCCCATTAATTTTTATGGTTAAAGAGTAACGCACCAAAACGAATAGACAAAAAAGCCTTTAACTTCCCTGCATCTTTGCTGGTGTTTTTAATTGCCTCACACTGCTCAGCTTTGCCTCCCATTCTTTTAGATATTATTGGGCTTTACCTGGAAACACCACCCTTCTTCTGTGCATAAATATAGGGATGCTTAAAGCCAGACCCTGATTATAGGAGTACCTGCTGAATTTTCTTTCACAAATTTAAAACCAGGAATTCCTGATTACTGGCTGGAATCAGGGCACTGGAAGACACATTTAACTGGCTTTAAAGTAAATTGTTATATAACCTCTTCCTCCTCCATGCCCTGCATCCCAGATTCACAGCACCCCCTTGCTCAGATTCATTTGAAACTCCAATGGCATTCTTTCTGCTGATTCAGAGGCAAATATTTTTCTTCCATGCTGTGATTCTTACACTGAAAAGCTAATAGGAAATGGCATTTTCTTAGCCTGCATGTCTCCTCCTGTACATATTCAGAGCCACTGGCTTTCAGACTTCCTAGGGTTGCAGAATAAGCGTATTTAGGACAGACTCAGCTGTCTCTCACTCTCTTTGCAGTCAATAAAATTATTCATTTTCCCTTCAGTTATTTCTAACTAAATCCACTGGAGTTTAACAACTTGGACACATCCCTGAATGTCTCATTCAGTGGCCATAAGGTACATAGAAACTAAGGGTGTCATTTATTCTATGGGATCCCCTTTGAAAATAATTCTGCATCTCAGATCTGAGGCTACATCTGCAGGGATGGAAAATTAAAAATCATCCTGCACAGTGTGTGTGGACATGATAGGAGATTGCAACTGAATGAACAGGTGGTCCCATGGCCCACTTTTGCTGCAAGGTGGCTTTTCAGATCAGAACCAAGCTTACATCAGAATCAAGTTTATCTTGGATATTAGGAAGAAAGTGTTTAGTGTGAGCAGGGTGGAAGAGGTTGTCCAGAGAGGCTGTGGCTGCCCAATCCCTGGAAGTGTTCAAGGCCAGGTTGGATGGGGCTGGGAACAACCTGGGATAGCGGGATATGTCCCTGCCCATGGTAGGGGGTTGGAAGTAGATGATCTTTAAGGTCCCTTTCAACCCAAACCTTTCTATGACTATGATTTAAATGCCCCATTGTTAGTGGCATCACTGAAACACTGATTTTCACCCATGTCTTCTGACAGCAATGGTTTATAACGCTGTAGTTTTACCACAGGGACTCAGTGAATGAGATTCCTGCTGAAAATTGTTCCTTGTTTGAACCTTACTTTCACGTATTTATTGTCTTTGCCACACAAAAGCCTTTTTCTCTCCAAGACAACCAGAACCACCAGCAAAATTTGAGTTTCTGCTAGGACTCACTAAGTAATACTTGCTGAAACCAATTTTCCCCTGAGAAGGATCACCACCACATTTTTATCTGCCTTAGGGAATTCTTTGCCTTGTGTAAGTGCTGTGTCTGATTTCTGCACCATGAGATGACAGAGCAAAAAGGAGGACTAGGAGGTCACCTGGGCTTAGGCTGTGCACAGCACCTGATGGTTCTTCCCCCATTCCCTCTTAACATCATTGTTTAGTAACTCCCAGTCTCATCTCGTGATGTAACTAAGACATCTCAGGTGATGTGGTTTTGCCCTTTCTGAGAAAAATGTGTTATTATTCTCAAAGTAAAGATGAAATATGACACACATAGAGCTTAGGGGTTGCTTCATGAAAAGAATGTTGGGTTTGCATTGTAAAACTTCCCACATTTTAGGTGCCTGGTCCCTGGGTGAAATTCATAGATCCTCTTCACTCACTCTGGATTCACAGCTTGGACTCTTCCATACCTTTGCAGATTACATTATCCTATTAGAGCTCTGAAAATATGACAGGAGGAGAAGATGATCATGGGTCCTTTATGAGTTGCCAAATGACAACTGAAGGAGAAGAACAACTCTGTCCTTCAGAAATGGTACAGATCGCTGCCTCTTCAGAGGGAATGTGGAATGGACATAGCTTTTCCACACATCAAACTTCACTGTGAAGCTATCAAAATATGGATTAATTTATTGCTCTTTCCTCTGCAGTGAGGCACAGGTCACTGCTCAGGCCCACACCTTTTGGTGTTACCTCCCTGCAGTCTTGGCTCCTGGTATAATCTCTGCTGCTGGAACAGAGTTCAGAGATGTGACACATGAAGAAGAGAGAAATCCTCATCCTCCTTCCCTGTATTTCTAGGTCTTGGTGTCACCATCACCTAAAGCTGGGCCCTGGGAACAGGTCAAAGTGGAGAGAAGACTCCTTCCTTTTCTCTCCCCATCACTCCTGGATCTTGATATCGGCTAAGGGCCAGCAGCCAGGAAATCATTAACAACAGCTTCCCAAACCCCTCTCAGCTGTATTGCACCTCCTCTTTAAGCTGAGCATGAGAAGCAAGTCAACTTATCCTTCTTCTTATCAACTTACCTGGCCCAAGGGCTCAAGGGTTTCACAACTGGGGTAGGGAGCTATTGCAGTGTGGATTTAGGACATTCCTAGTCTTATCAGAACTGATATCTGAATTTGAATTCATTTGAGATATATGGTTTAAGCATATAAAAAACTTTTTGGGGATATCACCAAGGATATCCTAATATTAATCAGTCCCCTGAGTTCCCTTAAGGTAGCTGATGACTTTATTCAATTTCTAGAGAAAGTTTTGACAGTTCTGCTACTGGCACTCTGTTTAAACACTGTAGGGATTTTAGTGGTGATACAAGAACACTCAAATACCAACAATTCCCTTCCCTGTATCAGTTCCTGAGGAGACAGCCCCCAGCACAAGGTACCACCCAAGCCAGCCACCCTTCTACACCACCTCCACAGTAGCCATGTCCTGCTTGTCAGGTGCAAGCAAAGAAGCAGAGATGGGCACCCACAGACATGGACAATGTCTGTGCTGGTCACAGAATCCCAGAATCACAGAATATCCTGGCTTAGAAGGGACCCACAAGGATTGAGTCCAACTCCTGGCCCTACACAGGACAGCCCCAAGAATCCCACCATGTGCCTGAGAGCATTGTCCAAACAGTTCTTGAGTTCTGTCAGGCTTGTGTCTGTGACCACTGCCCAGAGGAGCCTGTTCCAGTGCCCAACCAGTGAAGAACCCTTTCTTAATATCCAACTTAAACCTCCCTTGACACAGCTTCTTGACATTTCCTCAGTTCCTATCTCCATAACTCTGGGGGAGAACAGTCAGGACGTGGGGGTAAAATCTGTGCTTAGTCAACAGATAGCACGGAGTTCATATCTAGCCTCTAAATCCTGGCAAGTCTTTTCCTTGGTTCCTTGCTGTAATGCAAATCCTGATTAGCTCCTAGGAAACCTCACTGGGATCTGGATGTCAAGACTGATGTGCATCTTGGTAAGGGCCTGTCCACACCTTTGATGGTGAGGAGGCTTTGCTCTGGATGCCCACTTTGAAGTTGAGCTGGGCTTTCATTCGAAACAGAGCCTGGCGGCTCAGCTGTGGAGCAGGAGGGATCGGTGCTCCATGGCTGCTGGACAAGCTAACAGAGATGTGTTAACAGCTGCTGATGTGCTACAGCTCCAATTTCAATTTCAGAGCATTGTGTGTTAAAAAAAAAAAAAAAAATATATATATATATATAAAATCAGACATTAACAGTTAATAACAAGGGAATATTTCACTGGTTTCCCTTTTGACATAACGGAGCAGGAGAATTGGTGAACCAGGAAAGGCTCCATAATGCAACATCCTGAGGCTGACACGGAGCAGGGAACAGATGAAAAAGCTCCTACTCTGCCTTTAATTTATAGCATATTTTATTACGTGACACAGATTTAATAAGTGAAAATATAAATATCAGGGTAACAATTACAGAGGAAACAAAACTTGGAACTCACGTCAACCTACGAGGTCCCACGATTGCATCCAGAACCTCTTATTTCCTCTGGCACTCTCCTCTCTGGGCCTAAACTGCATTCTCTCCATCACAGTCATGTGGTTGGGTGGTGGAAGAAAACATTGCAATAGCTTCTTTGTGTTGCAGTTGGGAGAGGCAAACACGTCCAGAGGTGTCTCTGGAGAGGCACACTTGTAAGCTGAAGGGTTGGTGTAAATAAGACTTCAGCACCAATCAAAGAGGTTTTGAAACAGATGTTTTGATACTCCATTAAGCTCAATAAAAATGGAAAAATGAGAACATCTACACATTAGAGACGACAACAATTCTCAGCTCTAAGCAGGAAAATAGTGTGCAGGAGATGGTCTTGCATCCGTATTTTCATCAGTGTTGCTGTTGTTGCTTGAATATCTGGACAACAAGGAAGACATGGGGTAAAGAGGCAAAATTCAGAGAAGATTAAAATAAGGCATGCAGGATCTGAAAAATTCACCTGATAATGAAGCTAGGGAGTCTAGTGAGTGATTTAAACTGTGTCTGCATGGTGGAGCTGGCCTGAATTCACCCTGGTGTTTTGCCGTGTGTCTTCTGTTAGACCTCTATGCCTGTAGCCAAAGTTGGGAAGCCCACTGGGATTCACCCAGTGGGTTCAGCCTGTTGCCCTGAGCTCCAACATGTGACCTAGGTCATGCCTTCTGAGTTCACAGCCAGTTTGGGAAGTAACTCTCAGGTACTTTACCTGTTTCAGCTGCCTTTTGTCAGCTGTGATGCTGAGCAACA